GAAACGCTTATGAAAGACAGTGAGGAGGTCATACATGAGAACAGTGTTGAAATAGTTCATGAGAACAGTGAGGAGGTCATACATGAATGCAATGATGAAATAGTTCATGATGTCGTTCGTGAAGAAGCCATTGCAACAAAGAATGAGATAAAGGATTTCATAGAACTTAACAAGGAGGAGTTTAAAGAAGGCTATGAAGTGAAAAGATGTGAAGAAGATTTCTTGGCGTATTTGAAGAAAAAGAGACTAAAGCCAATGGCTCAAAATAAGTTTCAATCGATGTTTGAAAAGAAACGTTTGAGCTATGGTGGTGTAAGAAGCACATATTACTTTGTTAAGAAGTGAGGACATTTATTTTTGTCGTTAGTGTTGGAGTTTGTGTTGGAGTTTGTGTTTGTTGTTAGTGTTGAAGTTAGTACTTGATGTTAGTGTTGGAGTTTGTGTTTGTTGTTAGTGTTTGTCATTTGTGCTGAAGTTAGTACTTGATGTTAGTGTTGGAGTTTGTGTTTGTTGTTAGCGTTTGTCATTTGTGCTGAAGTTAGTACTTGATGTTAGTGTTGGAGTTTGTGTTTGTTGTTAGTGAGAGAATAAATTAAATCATAAACTTTGCCATGGTCTCTGTCCCTAGTAGTTTTCATTAAGTTCTGGAAATAATGAAAGTCATAAACTTTGCCATGGTCTCTGTCCCTAGTAGTTTTCATTATCTCACAGAGTTAATGAAAGTCATACTTTCTATCAGATGAAGCATGCAGATGAACATAATGAAAGTTAGTGAGTTTGCCACGAGTTATGAATAAAATATTGGCATATTAGATGAGATAGCTGATGAAACAGATGAAGATAAATTAAATCTTGGACTTTGCCACACTCTGTCCCTAGTTCCTCAAAATCCTTGACAACGTTGCTTAGAAATTTTGGTTCAAAACCTCATCTGATTTTAATCTGTTATGCTACCTGTTAAGTTTCGCGAGATTATAAATGTCATGGAGTTATAGAAAAAGGAGGGACAGCTAGGGACACTGGAAGTACTTGTAAGGCTATTTGTTAAGATTGCATGAAATACTAAAAGTCATGAAATCCATTATCGCTGTGCTAGCTTCACCTTAGAGTAAAATGACGACTAAAGTCACTGAAGCAATGAAACAAAAGTTCTTGGTAGAATACATTAAATCAGGAACTATTCCAGAAGGTTTTTACATTCATACTATGAAGGATGGTAGAGTTCAGTTTAGAAAGATAAAGCAACCATTAGATAGAGAAGGTATATTAAGGAAGATTAAACTTCATGAGGACAACATTGCTGAACTTAAGAAGAAGTTAGAAGAGTTGGAGAAAGGAAGAGAGTTATAAAGCAATGAATTCAACAGGGTGAAAAAAGAGGTGAAAAAAGAGGTGAAAAAACAGGTGAGATCTCACCACTTCACCTAAATTTATTTTTGTGCTATGTTTTCATACGTGTGAGGGTGGTGATATCATTTATTTTTATATAAATGATAGAACAAAAATAAAGCATATCTACTCAGCAGGAATGAGACCCTTACTGACTATGTATTCGTTTAATGCTTGATGAAAACAATGGTACATATTATCGTATGGGTATACACAACGTCTGTTTCCATCGTCGTCGTATATGTAGAGCTCAAATCCAGTCCAACCTTCTTTTGTACAATATGTAGCTTTATTTAAGTATGCATTTATGTAGATAAGGCAATTTTCTTCATCGCTCCAGAAATAATTTTTGGTCTTTGTTGAAATAGTTTTCGTTCCTCTGCGACCATAAGGAATGTATGCAATGAACTTTGCGTCATATGGGATTGTAATATATTCAGGGTTTCTTTCATCGTCAATGGGTCTGTCTTTGTTAAAATGCATGTTTCTCAGTTTTACTTGAGTTTTGAATAGTTCACGGAAACGTTCTGGGAAAGAGTCATAGTAAATGTAGTCAGACATGTCTTTGTAATGAAATAAAAAATTTAAAAAAAAATAAAAATAAGGTTATTTTTTATTTAGTGAGGACGGTAGTGAATTCGTTAGTGAAGTCGTTTATGTGTCAGACGGTTTTGTAAATATTTAAGGTTAAGTTGGTGTTATGGTTGTGTTGTAAAATATACGTTACCGGTTTCGTAAAGTGTCAAAACCGCTAAGTGGTGTACGGAGGCGCGCAGTGCCACAGTACACAACTTAGGGATACTAACTATTTGGACAAATCAAGAGCCTGGAAGAACATTAACATTAGAGTTAACGCTGCATTCTTAGAATGGAATGATCCAGAGCATTTTCTCGGAGATATACAAAAAGCATTACATCTTCCCCCACTTCCAGAAGATTGTGTCAAATCATTTGAAGAGAATTGTTACTCCAAAATGATATTGAAATAAAAAACTGTTACAAAAGGTTCTAAAAAACAGAACAAATACAAAAAATTCATTCAGAGTGTACCAGGAGGAGATTATCAAGTTTTCAAGTCCGAATGGGAATCAGAAGACGAAGACATTGATGACTTTGATTAACGAAAATTACATTTTATTTATTGTTTTTGTTTTAATTAAATTATTATTATGCTCATTTTCTTATTTTGATTTTTTCTCATTATGATATAAATAATTTATTAATGCATTTATCCAATAATTATGCTATGATATTTTTTATACCTTATTTCATTTCTCTTATATTTGATAATCTGGTAAAATATAGTTCAGACTATAATCATTTTAGATTATTGATATATTTATATAGGTTAGAATAAAATTAGTTTCATTTTCTACTTTTATTTTGAATTAATAATTTATAATATCAAATATTATGGCGTAACCTCTCCTTTAAAATATAGATATATATAGGCCTATAGAGTTTATTGGCACTCTCAAAACTCTAGAATTTTGAGTTTACTATACCCTTAATATTACATATTAAATACATTTATCAACATTCATTATTTTTATAAGTATGTCACAGATTTTTTTATAAAAATTTGTAAAAATGTATATTTTAATTTATATAATTAAATATTAAAATTTTAAATTTTGAAATAAAATAAATTAAATTCGTCCGTTATCTTTAATTCGCTCGGCGAATGCCGAGCTTACGTACTCATGTATTCCTTCTTGTTACAACTCGAACAAGAACATCACCTTTAACATATTATCAAGAAGCCCACTATAAACTTTTCATTTGATGAGTTTTGAATCGCGAGCTTCTTGATAGTCAAACTACGCACCAGCACTACAACTTCTTTCACACGAACTAATACAAATTTACACATTGGAGCTGCTTTGCTCTGAGAACTCTCATCGATTGATGAGAGTTATCAGAGCAAAGCAGTTCTAACCGAACTACGCACAAACACTCCAACTTAAAGCAACCAAATCAATACGATTATATACATTGGAACTGCCTTACTCTTATTTCTCTCATCTATTGATGAGAGATCTCAGAATGAGGCAGTTCCAATCGAACTACTCACAGACAGTCCAGCTAACCAAACCGAATCAATACACATATATACATTGGTGCTACTTTGCTCTTATTTCTCTCATCAATTGATGAGAGAACTCAGAGTAAAGCAGTTCCAATCGAACAGACAAGCTAGCACAAGATTACACATTGGAACAGTTTTACTCTGAGAACTCTCATCGATTGATGACAGATCTCAGAGTAAAGCAGTTCCAATCGAACTGCACACAAGCACTGCTTCTTACAGCAACCCAATCAATACGCACATATACATTGGAGCTGCCTCACTCTGAGAACTCTCTTCATTTGATGAGAGATCTCAGAGTGAGGCAGCTCTAATCGAACTACATACAGACATTACCGCTAACCATAACCCAATCAATATACGTATATACATTGAAGCTACTTTACTATTATTTCTCTCATCAATTGATGAGAGATTTCAAAGTAAAGCAGCTCCAAAAAGAAAGTGAGAAGAAAAGAAGGAAAAAGAGAAGAAAGAAAAGAAGGAGAGAGAAAGAGGAAAAGAGAAAAAGGACGTATTAAATATGATATGCTGTTTTTAGTGCCGAGGCGGCGAAGCCGCCGAGGCACGATTTTTTTGGTCTTTTCCTTCCACGTGGTAAGCTTTTTTAAAAGTTTGGACAGGCCTAATTTTTTGGTTTGATTCAGTCACTTTTTATTTTAGAGTTTTTGAAATTGTTGATTGGTATTATCCCTTTAACAATACTAACTTAAAATAAGCTCTGACGACTATCAAACACAATTAATATCTAAACAAAACCTTTGCAACGATTTAATTCAGTGATTTAACAATTCATTTAGTATATTATTACATCAAGTTAATAGTTTTCATAAATATAATACATAATTCGCATTCATACGCAATAGGAATCTCTAGCGATAAGAAACAATTTACTTTCTCTTTCTTTCGACAATAAATTACTCTCAATAAAAATGCTAACAATTCATTATGGGCTGCTTTAACTCATTTAGTCGAAACATTTAAAGTAGTTACTCTTTTGTTAAATTATACTCTCATCAGTATAGATTAACAAACCCGTGTGAATTACTACTGTTTTGAAGAATATTTCTAACATAACGAATACAGTGAGTACATTACCCATCTAGAAAAAGTTTTTCTTAAAAATTTTGTTTTTCAATTTTTTTACGAAGCAACTTACGTCAAAAAAGTTCTTAATTGCATAAAACTCATCAATAAATTAGTTGGTATCCCAATAATTCTAGTAAATAAAAATCATATTTTTTTTATGAATCCTTTTATATTTACAGTAACATCGATTACAGTTGCATAAATTCTAGATATTACCACGTGTCTAATAAAGTATTTACATTTTGTTCTATCACAAAGAGTTTTGTTCTTTCAGGTTGAGTATATTATTTAAATAAGCAATGGTTATGAGCGTTAAATACGAAACTTCTCGAATCACATCTAATAAGCCTATAATAAAGAGATTTTTTTTGAAAGAATAAATATAACATTACATTTATAAAAAATCTACAATAACAAGAAATAATATAAACAATTATGGTGGAGTTATGCGTCTACCAACTTGGGTAAGCGAATGCCTCCTGACCAAACAAATTTTCACAGGCACAACAGGTATTGTCCTTTTCTCTCTAGGCATTGGAAGAGGTAGTAATCGAGGTAGTTCTGATATCACTTTGACTTGGCTTCTGTATATTGGTGGTAAGGGATCATAATAATCAACATTGTAGTTTTCGAACGATTTAAGGTATAAAGTAGCTCCGATATTAGGTTGTTTGATTGATCTTGATGTCGAATATATTGTAAGAAGAGATCCGTGAAAATAAGATTTAAATCCGGTTTCAATAAATGAATGACCTCTTATAATTCGCTTTAAATTATTTTCTGATAAAAATTTAGAGCATGCATTCCTACCAAATAGCCATCCTTTACCTCTAGGACTAATATCAAAATCTTCCGATAGCTCAGTTGGATCGCTCCACAAAAAATCCATGATATTATCATTCTTCTTCTCACAGAGAGGATACTTAAGCATCTTCAGTGACTCTAATGTTGATCCAGGGCCGATTCCGCCATGAACACACAAAATATCTTTGGTGAGAAGAGCAGCGATAGGAATCTCTTCAAACAGGTGCACGAAAGCATCATACACGTCCGGGGTGTAGCCAAGATCTTGTAGGTCTGTTCTAAAATAGCCTGGTCCTTCTCGCGATGGAAATTCGTGGTTCCCTCTTATCATATGAACTTTGCGAGGAAATCGCCATTTTAATAGTAGTATAAAGACGAGTGTTTCGAGAGAAAATTGACCGCGATCAACATAATCACCTAGGAAGATATATTCTACTGCAATTGGCATCCCGTATTTTGATATTATTCGTACTAAATCATATATATTTCCATGTAAGTCGCCTATTATTGCGCACGGAAAATTTGCTGTAACGAGTGGTTGATCGTTTTTGAAAAGTTGTTTCACCTTATCGCATAATGTCATTATCAATTCTTTTGTAATTCGTGGGATTATGAAATCATTTTTCCCATTTTTCTGTAGAGTTTGTGTGTAATCAACAAACGATCGGTAAAGTTCGAAAGCATTACTTAAAATTGAGAGGTCATCATCATCTTCCATAAAAAATTATTTGATTTTTTCTTTAATTGAGAAGCTTACAATAATATAAAATGACTATACAAATTTGTAACTACTACAAATTAACGAATGATACATTGCTTGCATATCTGAAATTTTTATGAGCAAATTATTATCTAAGCCTTTTTAAAAAATAGTGATAAACATGCCCTAAAAATGGAATATATAGATAATACAAAAATTTTGACGTCATTCAATCAATTAATATGAAAAAACTTGCTGATCTCACAGAGGCTTGCTCTTTGTTAAGTTAGTGATTATTTTATCAATAAATCATTTTATTGAAAATTGTATAATGTTTTCAATTTTTTCCAAGAAACTTCTAAAATTGAAGTGTAATGCATTCAAATATTTCAACTTAGACTTTCTAGCTAATTCAACTTAGTAATATAGTGTCCATATTTTTTTTATACTTTTACAAAGTTTTCTCAATAATTGAAATATCTACAACTTGTCAAAATTCTGAGGTATTGATTTATCATATGCTTTTGATTAATATATTTCAGCTTAATTACATATATAAATACTCAAACTATTCGTAAAGACATGCTTTCAAACATTAGATCTTAATTGAGTTATTAAGTAAGACTCATTCAAATAAAAATCATCCTAAAATAGGCTTGCTATTAAGCTTTTGAATCTATGTTTATTAAACCCATAGAATGTATTAATTAAATGATTAATTTTGATTAATTTTTTTGAGAAATAAAAATAATATAAGTAACCTTCGTTAAATATCGAATAAGATATTGCCATGAATATTTATTTTCATTTAATTCTTTTGTTTTCAATCATATTTAAAACGTGCGCTTTATAATTTTAAATTTTTAAAAATTCCTTTTAATATCAAATGATATAATTGTTAATTGAAACTGTGCAATCGATACTATACTAATTACTTGAAAATGATATTCTTTCCATTATTTTCTAACTTTTATGAACAATTTCATTAATTCTATTCAAAAAATAATCTAACGATTTTTTTTCTGAAATATATAAACTTTACATTTCGTTATGCATTTAAAAATATAATGAAAAAATTTGCTAGTAATGACTAGGCTGTTTAATCTTAAAAAACGTGCAATAGTTTCAAAAGAGATTTTATAAATTTCACAGAAGAATTTATTATTGATACTGCGAAAAATAAAAATACAACTTTTTGGTCAATATACAAAGCTTTCAAAAAGCAGATTGCACTTTTTTGCAATTAATTTTTGAAAGAATTCAAATTTCTGTATGGCAGAACGATTCAATTTTATTGATTAATTGCTGATGATAGATTTATAAATACGACTCGTTTACTAATCTTCCTTCCCTAAAAATCTCGTTGAAAATTTGAATTTTCTTCTCCAAATTTCAGTTTTGGATTGAAGCGTTTCATATAGATTATAATTTCCATTTCTCACAACTAGTACGTATTAATAATAATTAAATATTAGTATTAAAGAGAGAGGGTCAAAGTTGCTATTTGTCACTTTTCCACAAGAATATAATGGGGAAAAAGTTATTATATAGTTGATCTCATTCACTGAGGTGAGAGATGCATGTAGTGTAATGTGATAAACAGTGGGATTCCTGCTCTAAGTCCTAGGTTCGAGACACATTGGCTTCATTTTTCTCTTTTTTATTGACGTAAACTATTCAATTTTTGTGTTCTCCATTCAAATTTCAGAATTTTTTTTGCAGATTTCACGCTACATTCGAAGTTACCTTTTGTAACAACCACCACTGCCTACGAAAGACGAAAGTGTGTCACGATTTCACCCGGAAATCCGACGGTTGTTTAAGAGTATGCACTTTTGTCACCTACTCTTAGTATTAAATAAGGAGAAAATGATTCCAGCATTTTGTAGACATATTTTGATATTTAAATGATACTAGAACTAATGATCTTTTACGTTTTTAAATACATTAGAACATTTAGTTTTGTATACCCTCGCAAAACCTGTCAAATCATTTGACTCATTACATTTTAATAGAGAGGATGAACTCAATTAAATTAATACGATGCTTGAAATCTCTAAAGAGATATATTGAAAAAGTGATTATTGAAAATACATTCCCCTCAAAAAAATATTGATAACCGAGGAAAAGAATTCAGGCAAAGACAGTAGTTACACCTGAAAAGTACGATTACACTATACTTCTGGGTGAATGGAATCAAAAAATTTTAGACATTAAATTGAAAAGGATATACTAAGGGCAATTCTTGAAAATTTAAGCTATATTTGCTTGATTTATCCAAATTGAAAACATGTGATATCATATTTGAAGTAATTAAATCACCGACCAGTTATTGTCTATTGTATTGTTCGTGTAGCAACAGAACTAATTAAACGAAAGTCATTCATTCTTCCAATAAGTGATTTCTTATATCAATAGCCACTTATTCACCAATGCCTGCACAGTTTTATTTCAATAAAAAGATTTTCTTTGAAGATCACAATTGATCAGTTATTTTTCAAGGACATTACGATGATGTACAGAGAATAATCTTCAAATAAATTTATTAATTAATTTGGAATGATTTTATTGAATGAAGCAAGGTAGAAGAATGAGAAACAAATAAAATCAGATGCTATTACTAGGGTAATTATTTTCTGATACATCATTTCAGCCGATTTATTTTTTGCTGAATTCAAATAAAATGGTAAAAAAGGGGGTTGGCGTCCTAAGGCGTCCTAGTGTAAATTTCTCAAAATTGGATATTTACATCACATTTTTGAGAGGTTTATGGGTCCTAAGGGAAAATTGAATAGCTAGGGCTCCCGAATTTTCATTCTAAGATTTAAAATTATTATATACTTAAGTATAATACAAGCAATATAAAAATTAAATTTTTATTATGTTAACTTATAAGAAATTTTTTTGAATTATCGTTGATTTATTGTAATCTTTCCAGGCTATACTTTTGAATCAACTTTACCTGTCATACGCATTATATGTAGTAGATGTCCAGGTGTAGCTATTATATCCCAGCAACATTGGTATTTTATCATTGTAAGATATCAAAATGAAGCGTTTTTTCAGATATAATTTTCGTAAATTTTTCAAAAATAAGATGGTAAAAAGCCTCGACTTGCTCGAAAAATAACAATTTTTTTACTTGTAAAATAACCCTTTCAGCATGGGCAGCTATTCAATCACTATTTCTTTTTCTAAAAGTATATTTTTCAAAAAAAATTAAGATCAAATTCGACAATTTCTTGATGAAAGCAAAAATATTACACATACTTCTAGATGCATGGGATAAAATATGCAATTATCCAATCAATTCGCATGATTTGAAAAAAAAATCTAAATTTGATAAAAATGTAGAAATTTTTTATTTTTAACTTGAGATTCGATTTTTTTGATCCAATTTGTGATTTTTTTTGATCGGAATTTCAATTAATTTGTTGATCAAAAATGACCTCACAATGTTTGATCATAAGTGAAGTCATCTTCATGGGTATTTAGAAATTCCAAGAGAAATTGCTTATTTCTCGCAGATGTAATATCTGAGAAAATCGAATTTAAATATTCATAGAAACCCAAATCATTCTCCGGTTCGAATAATTCATCTGTTGCTTTTTCTGTTTTTCTATGAATTTTAATAATTTGATTAATAAATCTTCATCAGGAAGAATTATTGCTGCATTTGTGATAAAATTCCATATTGAGGTAATATGGCAATAATTACATTTATAAAATGTAATTTTAGCCAAAATTTTTGGGCAAATTCGCATAATAGCATTAATATTTGAAGCTGAGATTAAACATGTGATTACTTCTGTAACTTTTGGAAAATCATCGCAATTTTATCTCTTTATATTGAATTGAGAAATAAAAAAAATCAAATGGATTCATTTCTTCAATTTCAAGGAGATTGTAAAAATTGATAGAAGTGTTATTGCAACAAATTGTATTTGCAGCAAAAAAATATCATTTGCTCGATTCCATTTTTGGAATAAATTTGCTGGAACAATGTTAAATTAAAACAGTTGCTTAATTTTTCTTCATTGTTTTCATAAAAAAGTAACAAGTTTGCAACTGAAATTTCAAAATTTTGATAATTGCCAGTTATTTCAGTAAATATATATATTTGCTTTTCTTCATCTAAAAATGGCAAATATTGATTTGCAATATTAACTAAAGTTTGGGATAAATTGTTCCAGTTTGATTTTACAACTTGTGAGCACATTATGTAATATGTAAATTTATCCGCTTTGTAGGAATTTAAAATTGTGTTTGTTGTTCTGTTTCAGTTAAATTACTGAATTTTTCAAGATTAATATTGTGATAAAAAATAGAATCCTTGAAACATTCTGATATCTTTTCAATGTTTAAAACGGATGCTAAAAAATGTAAAAGAACTTCATCAGTCACTGTGATTTTTTTTGAAAAATTTATCCCAATTCAAGCATCCAATTGATCTTTCTGTCATTGTACTTATGCATTGATAAAGTTGATTTAATGAATCCGAAGAATAATCATTATGCTTGACTAGTTGAGTTAGTTGATACAGACTGTCGTCAGCCATTTTAAAAAATGAATAAAATTGTATAGTAAATTATATTTGTGAAATTTGTGACGCTACATTCAATCTAAGACCAATATCTCAAAGAATTACTCATTTAAGTATTACTTTTCATTGTTTTTTAAAAATATCTTTGCTTATTTGTTCACTTTTTTGACATTTATTATATGCTTTTTATCATATTTCCGATGATATGAATATATATTCTATATAAGAATGACGCTACATTCAATCTAAGACCAATATCTCAAAGAATTACTCATTTAAGTATTACTTTCATTGTTTTTTAAAAAATATCTTTGCTTATTTGTTCACTTTTTTGACATTTATTATATGCTTTTTATTATTTCCGATGATATGAATATATATTCTATATAAGAATGACGCTACATTCAATCTAAGACCAATATCTCAAAGAATTACTCATTTAAGTATTACTTTTCATTGTTTTTTAAAAAATATC